ACCTGAAACAAATGCCTAGATATCTGTAACTGTAAGAAATAATATGCACATAAAAGCAAATAAGCTGGTGTCTTATAAAGAGGAGTGGCTGCCACTCCAACCATACAGTGCCTGCAGGGCTGTGTAGGAGAGCAGCGGGGTCAAACAGTTTTCACTGAGCAGTACAGGAAAAACGCCACAGAAATCACCAGACTGATCACCCACTGGAACTAATGGGCACTTGCTGCAGACACAAGCAGAACCAGACAGAAAGCGCTGAGGGAAGACTAGGGCGGTGAGGGTTTTCGTGCTCATTGAACTACACTTCCAGTATTGTTGAGCCTAACCGTTTCTGAAACTAAAATGCAAATGATTACTGTGCACGCAAGATCAGCTCTGGGGGTAATTATCTGAAATTCAAGCCCTGAAATGGAATCTGGGTGATGTTCTCTGAACAGTATGTACAGTCCAGTAGCCATTAGGGTGTGTGCTTAGCCAATCAGGGAGAGTGGCTAATTCCCTGGCTCATTCCACTGGGGGCTCAGCATTTCCACTCACAGGATGATGAGCGCCGCGTCTCGGGAGTAATCCAGCAGGATTTCATTCAGATGGATCTGTCGGAGGGACTGCCGGAAAAAAGAAAGCATATTTTTAAAATATGATTAATTTGAAAATCCTCAAAAACCAGTGTTTCATTCTTGCATTTTCTCTTACAGAATTGTGTTTTTTCCTTATCTAAAGCACAAAGTGCTTTGGTTTGCCATAGCCTGAGCACAATCTCTCGCTGTCAGGAAGCGAAGTGCTCTTAAACCACAGATCGGTTTCATTCTGCCCAAGTCATCCGCCAATAACCGAAGATGAAGAATTCAGACTTGAATTCTTCATCTTGAGAGTCTCACCTTGGCCTTGTTCCTCTCTATCTCTTCATCCGAAATCTTCCAGGGGAATTCCTTCTTCATTTCATTGACCGTGTTTTCGTCCCTGAATCCATCGTTCAGCCGGTAGGGGCCGAGCAGATCCTCAAACCTCTTCACACTGCACCAAACCCACAGGAGACAAGAGGGTTCAGATGGGCACCAGCTCAGAGCAGACTAGGGCCTCTGCAGAGGGACCCGACACTCGTTTCAGTGGACTCAAGTCTGCACTCATCCAATTACAGATATCAAGGACAGCTGACATGCAACTGGGATACAGTGTAAAATGCAGATATCCCACGTTATCTCACCCATCACCCATCACCCACCAGGGTGCAACACGGTCTAAGTACACTCTTCTCCTGTAGGGCCTGTTGCAATGGAATAACAGAGTGTGCTGCGTCTCTGCAGAGCTGTTGTAAAACCCAGGCAACTGTCTTTGAGAGCCATGCATCACAGTTTTGCATGGAATCCAAAGGAGTTGCTTAGTTTTATTTATTTATATGATGCACTGTACAGAAGCTGAGAGAAAATAACCTCTTAATTTGAAATCAAAGCCAGTGGTGATCAAGCAGGTGAGATGGAGCAGCAGGGGAGTGCCCCAGTGCCCCAGTGCCACCTTGCCCTGTGTGCTGTTTGAAGAGCGAGGGAAAGGACCCAGAGACACAGTACAAGAGAGAAGTGTGACCCTACTGCTCGGGCCGCGGCTTCTCGTTGACGTCAGGCAGCACCTGGACGTCGTGGAATCCCAGACGAAACTTGCTGAGCAGGGACATGAACCTGGAGATCACAACGGGAAAAAAAAGTCTGTTTCAGTGCTGCTGAGCCCTGGGCTGACGTCTGTGGACCATGTTGAGCTGAGTGAGCCGGGACAGCGAGCTATTTGCATTTCTGAGTGATTTCAGAAATTAAAAATGATCAGCAGCTTCCCTCTGTATTTTGCTTCACTGCAGTCATCAGAGAAGAGACATGCTTATTTCTGGAGGGGTGTTTGATCGTGCACGGCGGCGGCGGCGGGTTGGAGGGGGTAGGCTCGGATACTCACGCCTTCCTCTGCTCGTCCACCCGGCTGATCTCTCCGCCCACGAAGACACGCACCTTGCAGCCACGCCAGCGCTTCTTCCGCGTCAGGAGGTACGGAATGAGCAGGGTCAGGCCTGCGGAAGGGGCGGCACGCATTACTCACAGGGCACGCCCAGGCTTCCCCTAGGTCACAGGTCAAAGGTTCATTACAGGCTAGCTGTCAGCGCAACCCACCTCCATCATCAAAGAGCCAGTAAACGTCGATCGTCTTCTTGCCCTGCTTAGACTGGAAAATGGTCGTGGGCTGAACTTCAGCCACTAGAGCGTCAGGGTCCACTGAAACAGGAAGAGCCGGGGTCAGACTGACCAGTCTTCACAATCGTTTCCAACGGCTGCTCGCGCAACAGGCAGATGTGACTTAGCACTGACCCAGAGATTACAGACATTCTTGATGTCCCAGCAGCCATATCACTCTGCAACTCAAAACTGGCAGCCCACTGAAGTTCAGCAGGTGTGAGCCTGGTCAGTACCTGGATGGGAGACCTCCTAGGAAAAATTAAGTTTGCTGCTGGAAGAGGTGTTAGTGAGGCCAGCAGGGGGCGCTCACCCTGCAGTCCATGTGGGTCCTAATGCCCCAGTATAGTGATGGGGACACTATACTGTAAAAAGGTGCTGTCCTTTGGATGAGACTTAAAACTGAGGTCTTGAGTCTTTGTGGTCATTAAAAATCCCAGGGTTCTTCTTGCAAAGAGTAGGGGTGTAACCCCGGCGTCCTTGCCAAATTTCCCCCTGGCCTTTACCAATCATAGTTCAGGTGGGTAGCTGCATCAGCATGCATAGGCTGCAAAGGAACAAGTAATAGGTTTATTCCATGCTGAAAAAGAGAAGAAAGAAAACACAACGTTTCGGCTGTGGAGCCTTCATCAGGTGTTTTGGCCGAAACGTTGTGTTTTCTTTCAGCATGGAATAAACCTATTACTTGTTCCTTACCAATCATGGCCTCCTAATAATCCCCATCTATGAATTGGCTTCATCGCTCTGTTCTCCTCCCCACTGAGAGCTGGTGTGTGGGGAGCGTTCTGGCGCGCTATGGCTGCTGTCGTATCATCCAGGTGGGGCTGCACACTGGTGGTGGTGGAGGGGAGTCCCCATTACCTGTAAAGCGCTTTGAGTGGAGAGTCCAGAAAAGCGCTATATAAGTGTAAGCAATTATTATTAATTATTAATGTACAACATTAATGGCCAAGTGTCTTTAAACACAAAATAGGTTTTCTTAGCACACAAAACGGAACACATTCCCTTTCATCATCTCGTTGTGTCTTACATGTACTGTGGGCTGCTGGTGCTGGGGAAGTCCCATTGCCACGGTACTCACTGCCATTCTCAAACACAGGGTTAACTGGGAAAACAGGACAGACTCATCAACACAGGCAGAGTGGACAGTCCACACCAGCCAGGACAGACTCCTTAACACAGGCAGAGTGGACAGTCCACACCTGCCAGGACAGAGTCCTTAACACAGTGACAGTGGACAGTCCACACCAGCCAGGACAGACTCGTTAGCACAGGGAAACAACAGTTCAACAATTTTTATCTTTTTATCTCAGTGGTTCTCAAACTGTGGTACGCATACCAGCAAATAGGGAGGTAGGAGAATGTGCGTGATTTTGGAACAATGCCAATGTTGTAAACACAGGAATGCCTAGAAATACGTGCTACTAACGCTTGTAATCGTGTGAGCACAGGAAATCGTGATAACAGAAAAATATTTAAGAACTGTTTTAAGTTAATTTGAGAAAAATACACACAGCGTCTCTATGTTTCGCTCCCATGCGCATGAAATAAAAACTTAAAATAAATACGGAAATAAAAACGGAAACGGGGAGAAATGCAAGCTTGCGGACTGCTAAAGCAGGTAAGCCCCACACTATTTTTGAAGAATCTTATTTACCGTTGGCAAAAGAGCTGACACGTATTATGTGTGGAGAAAAAGCTGCTAAACAGCTCGACCTGCTGCCCCCCCTGAAAGACACGGTCATTCACAGAATTATTGAAATGATATCAAAAGTACGCTGATAGAGCGCGTTAAGATGAGCAGATGTTTTTCACTGCAATTAGCTGAGTCTGTAGTCAATTTGGCCAGTTCACTCGTTTATGTTAGATACGAGTTTGAGGGTACGTGCCATGAGGACTTTCTGTTATGTAAGCCGCTGCCAACAGGAACTACAGGAGAGCACATATATCAGCTTCTGAATGAATTTATCGAAGAGAATGGCATCGACTGGATAAAATGCGTCGGAGTTTGTACAGACGGTGCTAGAGCAATGACAAGCTGACATAACGGTGTAGTTGCACGAATTAGAGAGGTTGCTCCAGAAATTAATGGTTTCATTGCAACATTCACCGCGAGACCTTTGCCATCAAGGAAATGCCTGACGATTTAAAATCTGTTAGACTCTGTTGTGAATTGTTTCAAGGCTCGAAAAATGAATTCACATCTGCTTTGCTAACAGGCTCCCCCCTCTCACTGAAATGGTGCTTTTTTATTATTTTTATTTGTTGTTGTTACTGCTTTTTTTTTCTGTAAAACGCTTTGAGAAGCCACATTTAAAGGCGCTATATCAAATAAAGTTTATTATTATAATATTTATTATATGTATGTGTGAGTGTGTGTGCACGCACACTCATGTTGGTCATTGAGAATTTCTGGGGTTCCTATGAGATGATGACTTGTAGGTGGTACTTGGATGCTTTGTTTGGATTAGGGGTGGTACTTGGTCCAAAAGGTTTGAGAACCACTGATCTATTTCAATTTCTATCTTTAGTGAGGTACGTCCTGCCTTTTCTGCACTGTAATGTGAACATGCGCATTCAGTGTTGAGTACAGCACAGCACACTCCAATACAAATGACAAAGAAACAAATCAAAAACCCAAACACGTTGTTCAGTGCTGGGGCCCAGAAGAAGGCTGTGGGAGGGGCAGACGATGCAGAACAGGCCCATGTTCCCCTGGGAACCGGCTGACTCCGCTCCGATCTTCCGGATCACACAGGGGTCGCCCTCCCAGAGCCCAGCGCTGGCCTTACCGTGGGCCTGCATCGTCCTCGACAGCCCTTCCTTCGTCCGCATCACACACACCCCGAACCTCAGGTCAAAGGCGTCGCTGGAACACGAGACACACAACACGGCACCGTGAGCCCACGGGAAACCGGGCTGAGAGTTCTCACCAGACGTGCTGCTCCGCGCTCGTGCACGTCCACACCAGACGTGCTCGTGCTCCACGCGTGCGCGTTATCTAATGACAAAGAGGCGCGGGGGACACACTCACTGTATGATCCCAATGTAGTTTTCCAGGCTGCTCGGGCGATCCCTCTGCCAGTTCCTCTTGAAGCCCATCACGAGAACATTGGGCTGGATCCTCCCGAGGCCTGCGGCCTGACAAACAACATGTGCTGCACGTTAGGACTCGCTGGGCTCTTGCAGAGGCTGAGGCAGGGAAACGTCACCTGTCACCGGTCCGAACGACTGCAGAAGTGAATCTTTTCCCAGAATGCCTTCATGGTCTCCCAACCATGCTTGTCTGGTAGGTGCTAGAGTTGTTTTCCACAGCTCTGCTGGAGAGGCTCTCCTGCGGCTCTTCAGCAGGCAGATGGGTGACCTCACCTGGAGAAGCATCTGCACACCACTGCGCAGGTCCTCGGCCACCACCCCACGGTAGAAGGACTTGATCTTCCTCCTGTTCAGCCAGGTCACATGACTGCCACTGCCCGCTGCCTCCTGGCTCGTGGGAGAGGGCGCCCCCTGTCCCGAGCAGAGAGAGCAGCACATGTCACCCAGACAGCGGCCTCCCAGACAACACAGACCATGTGCTCTGAATGAGCACATGAATCCTCACTCTTCAAAACCACCGTGCAGAAGCAGTTTTCACAGCAAAGAAACCACGGGTGCAGCCAGGAGGAAAACTCACAACAACGACGTTTCCGCACATCATGAGGCTCAGGTTTTTGGTGAAGGTGCCGACGAAGTCAACCAAGGCGGGGCGGAAGCTGGGGGGCCCCGTCAGGACCAGACACTGCGGCCTGAAGGAGAGAGGAACACAGGCTAGAGCCCCCCGCAGCGGCCAGGGGCCCCCGCCGGGGCAGCACCCCACTGCCCCAGGCCTGGGCTCCTCCATGTCCCGAGTCCAGCTCTCTGAACAGTGAGTGACCTCCTGACAGGCAGCCCTGCCTCACTGTGCAAGAACACCAGCTGAGCCTCACGGCACTCTGATGTCTGCTGTTGTATCCACTGGACCCTAACTCTAACCTTTACCCCAAACTAGCCCGAACTTTAGGACTCTACCCTTTTCCTAACAACAGCACAAACCCAACAGCTGTTCGAACCCGGACCACGAGAAGTCAGCTTCCCTGAGCCAAGCTTAATTCAGCCCATCTACAGCCCGGGTTCAGGTCTGGTCCTTATACCCAACACTAATTCTGACCCTAAAGTACATGTTGGAGGTACAGTAGTTGCCCTCAGCTGAGATCAGCCCCCGTTATTACCTGTAGTTCTTGATGTGTTCATCAACTTCGTTCAGTCCCACTGAATAGGACAGCGCCATGTTGTAGGACCCAGCTTGAACTGAAGACCCCCAGTTAACAGCTGCAAAGCACAAGCACAGACCACCCACCAAGGGTCAGCACGCGGCCCTGATATTCTCTGTCCTTGTCGTGCACGCAGGCGAGCTAAAGCTCGCTGAGCATCAAGCACCCTTCAGCAGGAACTCGGGAAAACGGTCATCAGGAAGGTTAGAAATGACCCATCTTACCCAGTTGATTTGGTTAGTGGACCTAATATCTGAAGTTGGATACTTGAGAAAAGTGAAGCAGGAGTTCATTTCATGTCACTGCAGAACTCAAAGACGCTGTCAATGGATATTTTACAGGATTTTTAACTGCAGACTCAGAGATCTTCAACCAATCAGTGAACAAGAAGATTCTGTGACTGTAACAGACGCTGTGGCCCAGGACGGCGCCGCCGACAGGACCCCTGCCAGCCATGTGCACTGGGGCGTGTGACGCCAGCCGTGGCGGTCTCACCTGGTCTCTTATACAGCACGTAGGCCAGGAGGAAGAGCACGATGCCGATGGCAATCAGGGCCGCCCACCAGGTCAGCAGGAACATGATGACCACTGAGATGATGGCGCCAACCAGAGCAGCCCACTTGCTGTAATATTGGAAGGAAGGCCGCCAGCCTACGGGGGAGTCACAGAACCAGCTCAGACACATGAGCAGCACATGTGCAGGCTGTGTCAGATATATAGAAAAACCCAACTGGAACTGCAGTTCAGGCCACAGGCAGCTAAGAAACCATCCACTGGAAGTGGACTGGTCTTCTGTGAGAGGTATTCTCTAAATCGTCTGTAGTTATGTAATGTAATGTAATGTAATGTGTCTGCAGCTGCAGCTTCAGACCCAGCTTTGAATGAGAAGCTTGGAGCAATACTGCCAACAAATCAGCCATATCACCCTGCAACTCACAACTGGTAACCCACTGAAGCTAAGCAGGTGTGAGCCTGGTCAGTACCTGGATGGGAGACCTCCTGGGAAAAACTAAGGTTGCTGCTGGAAGAGGTGTTAGTGGGGCCAGCAGGGGGCGCTCACCCTGCGGTCCATGTGGGTCCTAATGCCCCAGTATAGTGACGGGGACACTTTACTGTAAACAGGCGCCATCCTTCGGATGAGACGTAAAACTGAGGTCCTGACTCTCTGTGGCCATTAAAAATCCCAGGGCATTTCTCGAAAAGAGTAGGGGTGTAACCCCGGTGTCCTGGCCAAATTTCCCATTGGCCCTTACCAATCATGGCCTCCTATTAATCCCCATCTATGAATTGGCTTCATTACTCTGCTCTCCTCCCCACTGATAGCTGATGTGTGGGGAGCGCTCTAGCGCACTATGGCTGCCGTCGCATCATCTAGGTGGGGCTGCACATTGGTGGTGGTGGAGGGGATCCCCATTACCTGTAAAGCACTTTGAGTGGAGTGTCCAGAAAGTGTAAGTGTAAGCAATTATTATTATTATTATTATTATTAAATCTGTTCAGACTCTAGGGGGCTGCTTGCTGGGGCCAGCCCAGGAGCCAAATGGCTGGCAAAGGCCTGTGTGTGACAGAGCTGCAGGCTCACCTGGGGAGTTGGTGATGGAGGCGTGAAAGCAGCTGAAGTTGATGAGCGCGTAGGAGCACAGGAAGAAATTGGAGATGATGGGGGCGATGGTGTTCAGCTCAGCTGTGCAGGGAAAATACACACAACACACAAAGCAGTTGATAAGACACTCTGTCGGGTACAAATCACTGGATACGCTGCTGTTCCACAAAAGAACTCTGAATATCTGTCAACCTTCGCATGAACAGTGTTTATCTCATAGATGCAGTGACTTAGTTCAGCGACATCTGTCAGCAAAACCTACCAATCAGAATGAAGCAGATGGCGATAATATAGGTCAGCAAGTACCCTCTGATGGGCTCGTTGTTCTTCCCATAGCCTTCCCCAAAGAATCCGATCAAAGGGTACAGGTTGTCTTTGCAAAGGCACTTTGAATAAAAACAGCCGAGTAGGAAAATAAATAAATATACTGTATATTAGTTTTCAAATGCACACAATGCAAAAATAATCATAACACAAATAAAAGACTGCTTTCCTCTCCTCAAATTACACATGACTGACCCCACGCAGACTCCATGTGGACATGCACATCACTGATAAAGGACAAGTTTATTTCTCTAACACTTGCAGGATTTTTATGCACAAAAAAAACGAAACACTGAACATGACAATGTGTTAATCAGAAGCACACGGACGGGGAGCCTGTTTTAGACGATTCTGATGACCCAGATTGATGTTGTAGGTCACTTATTTTAATTCCAGAATATAACAGTCCATTTGTCACAGCGCCTGAGGCCATTTCTTATTGCTTTAATAATTATTTAGCACAGAGCTTGCTTTCATACAATCTGGAAATCTAAACAGAGTTTGAGCAGGTACTACAGCCAAACCTTTGGGTTTAAAAAGGCTGAAAATGTTCAAAATGAAACTATCTGGTGAAGGAGCCGCAGGCTGCCTCACAGCCCAGCTGCCTGAGGAGGGCGCCGCAGAGGGCGCGCGGGCAGGAAAGCTACCTGGAAGACTTTGGGAGCGGAGACCAGGCAGGCCAGGGCCGAGGACAGGGTGGCCCCGAAGATCCCAGCAGTGATGAGTGGGGCAAATCCGGACACCATGCTCATACTCTGCAGGGAGACAGAAGGGGGGCAGAGAGGGCAGAGAGCGGTGGAGAGGGGCAGAGAGAGGCAGGGAGGGGCAGAGAGGGGCACGGAGGGGCATAGAGGGGCAGAGAGGGGCGGAAAAGGGCAGAGAGGGGTGGAGAGAGGGCAGAGAGTGGCAGAAAAGGGCAGAGGGGTGGAGAGAGGGCAGAGAGGGGCAGAGAGGGCAGAGAGGGGTGGAATGGGGCAGAGAGGGGTGGAGAGAGGGCAGAGAGGGGTGGAAAGGGGCAGAGAGGGGTGGAGAGGGCAGGAGCAGGCAGGAAGAAAGGAGTTAGGAGTTAGGGCATGCAGGAGAGGAGGGGTGAAAAGACAAGGAGAAACTGATTGCCCAGCTGGTCCACTGCACATCAGAGTACTGCTCTAAGCCAGTCAGCCACTGGACTTACCTGTAATAAGGTATCTTCAGACACAACCTGAAGCTGCTCAATGTACTGAACATTCACAGCTGTTAAGTTCGGTGCTGTGTGTATGATAGCTGTCCGTCAGGAATCCATTCACTAGAATTCGATTATATTCAGGCTACAGAGCCACCTAGCAGAGGCCACTCAAACCAGTGACAAACACGTTGAGCCCCAGGCACCCCTGGGAGGGAGAGGGAGGCTCAGCAGCTGCTCTGCTCCAGTTACATCAGGTCACTCAGCTCGTTAGTCACAGCAACAGGCCGCCGGGAGGACAGATCAGGGGGAGGAGAGAGTGGATCTCTCCCTGCACGAGGGCTCTCAGTAAATCCCTGTTTAACAGGCTCTTTGCTCCTGAAAGCGGCTAGCAGCTCACTGAGAGACCCTGGAAACACACTGCAGCGCCTCCTGCTGGTTCCAGATGAGACGTGAAACCAAGAGACTGCAGGCTCTGCAGCAACTCGCTCCTACGTCCCTCTAGGCTCTGCAAGCACTTTGAAGACTATGGCTCTCACTCCTCTTACCTGGTAGTAGTTGCTGATGCCGTACGGACACGTTTTATTGGCGATGCAGTCGCTGAAGTTCCAGCCGTAGGTGCAGGCCAGTCCCAGGCAGTCTGTCCCCAGCGCGTCCGCAGTGTCGTTGATGTTGCCAGAGGCGTCGCGCACCACGCACGACCCTGAGAGCAAAAAAACACAGACTTCGCTGACGACTGTGAGCACGCGTTACATTCTGCTTTCAAATCGAACCCTGCTATGTATTATCCCAAAGAAACAGCAGCCACATGAGAGAAACGGGATCCTCCTAACTCACCGATGGTGGCAGAGATGATCAGGTAAGACATGGTGGTCCAGAAAATGGCCAGGAGAGTTCCTCTCGGAATGGCCACTGCTGGGTCCTGACATTCAGGAGAGGGAGAGAGAGCTGGAGGCAATTATATGATTATAGATGGACAGGAGCTCCCGGAGAAGAGAGCAGACTCTTTAACTGGCCAGAATGATCTCCAGTCCGCTATCCTGCAGACCGGCTGTGAAGCTGCTGGAACAAAGACTCCCCTGCGGATGGTATTTAACGTAGAAAATGTGCAGAACGTTACCTGCAGGCAGTGGAAACATAACCTACAGATATGAGAAACACAGAGCTGAATACTAAAACAAGCTATTGTTTTCACGTATTAAGTGAAATGAAGAAATGAAGAAAGCAGAGTCAGAATCTGCAATGAAACATTAACCAGAGACAAGTGGAACCTACAGGAAGGAGCAGTTAAAACTGACAGCCTGGCATCTTTCAAGTATTGGCAAGGTGAGATCCTTCTCTCCTTCGGTAACCTTGTGCCGAGCCCACAAAGCTCTGCTCAAGCTGTTGAGCCCCCCACGGGGGACACTTCAACACACAAGTCCACTTGCCTTCAGGTCTCCAGAGATGTTGGCTCCTGCCAGGATTCCTGTCGCCGAGGGGAAGAAGATGGAGAACATCCCAAAAAAACTGCCCTCCGGTCCTCTCCAGTTTGGCACAAAGTTTTCAGCAAAAATAGCACCTGGAAAAAATGGGCACGTTAATCACACTTTCTTCCAAGCACAACTCATGCATTCCAGGAGAAACAGGCATCTCTGCTCCCTGCTTTTTTTCTAAAACTGTAAAGTTATGACTGAACATTGAAGTTTTGTTCTGTTTTTCTCATAATGTCTCCCTTGAGGTTTTATGCACAAAGAGGTCACGAATGTGTTGGCTGTAAATGTTCTCTGGTTCAGTGAATTCATCTCCCAGGACAGAGAAGATAAGAAAGGTATCAGTGTGGTAGTGCTTGCTTATGGAAGTGGAGTGTTCTTCTACAAACTGCATCAAGAGATCCATATTACCTTTGTAACTGAAGAATCCTTTAGCCTTCTTCTCTGGAGTAGCCGGTATAATTGTCCCCACGATATAGTTTGCAAAGGAGACCATGATCACGAAAAAGAATAGGACTTGTGCCTGTGTTTGGCACAGATGGAAAAGCATTTATTATACAAATGGCACATAATGCAACCACATGCAATCCAGGGCTAGACTGTAATACAATACACAATGCAGCATGAAACAAATGCATTATAGATTTGTGATGCACACTCAGAGCAAGCAAGACAAACAGACTTTAGACTTGCCTTGGACTCCCACTCCATCCCAGCCAGCGAGATGCCCAGCAGGCAGGTCACAGTGATGACACCCACAATGCGGATGTCATTGATGGGGTCCACAATGCTGGAGCCACTCTCCTGGAGGGGAGAGGGAGATCTGAGTCAGGCAGAGACAAAGACAGCGCAGACACTCAGGACCTACAGCTACAGGAGATACTCGGAGCCAGTTCTCAGAAGCGCCTGCCGCTACGGCTTATGGAACACCTCACTTACAGGCAACGTCAGCCTGGGTATTTTCACCCATTATAATACCTGCTACACTGTACCTGGGTTTCCTCCCGGTGCTCCAGTCTCCCCCCACAGTTCAAGGACACGCTGGCAGCTCAATTAGCTTCTGGCAAAACTGGCCCTGGTGTGAGTGTGTGTGTGTCTGTGTGTGCCCTGTGATAGACTGCAGTCCAGAGTGTACCCTGCCTTGTGCCTGTTTCTAGCTGGGATAAGGTCTGGCTCCCCTGAAAACCTTATTTGGGTGAAGGGCTTAGACAATATCACCATATCACCCTGCAACTCCCAACAGGCAACCCACTAAACCATTTAACAATCATGGCCTCACAAGAATCCCCATTTCTGAACTGGCTTCATCACTCTGCTCTCCTCCCCACTGCAAGCTGGTGTGTGGTGAGCTTTCAGGTGGATGCTGTACATTGGTGGTAGTGGGATTCCCCTTTAATTCCCTGTAAAAGCACTTTGAATGTAGTGTCCAGAAAAGCACAGTATAAGCATAAGATTATTATTTCAGGTGGGGAGCTGCATCAGCATGGCCGTGGAGCCTTCTTCAGGTGTCAGGTGTTCAGATTATTATTATTATTATTATTATTATTATTATTATTATTATTATTATTATTATTAAAATGGATGGATGATAAATACCTGCTGAAAGTGAACTGGGAATGGCTACCGCATTGGTCAATGAGTCGACAATGAAGAGAGAAGAGAGCCCCAGAGCTCTTCCTCACCTGGATGAGAACCTGCACGGTCTCGGCGAAGCCCACGGTGTGCATGGCCACGGCCACAGCGTTGGCGAAAGCGAAGATCAGACCGATCGAGCCGCCTAGCTCGGGACCCAGACTGCGGGAGATCAGGAAGTACGTCCCGCCTGCGGAGGTACGAGACAGGGGCTCCTTCAACAGGGGAGCCAGACTGCGTCCCAGCAGCTGGATCGCCCTGGAGGTCCTGTTCAGAAGCACTGCAGGATCATGACACGATCACAGAGGTGGCACAGCATGGGAGGTCACGCGGTCCTTCTTACTCAGCTGGATTCTGGTAGCAAGTTGATTTGATCCACTGGCTACGTCACAGACTAGAAACCGGGATTCAAGAGCTCCCATGTTACGAAATGAACTGGTTATAGACCCAGCTGGTCGCAGTCGGCCTGAAACAGCTGCTGCTGATCTGATTATACAAGTAAAGGCGGCAGGGCTTTGAAATGACTGTCCTAGGCCCTACTGTCTAAGCTAGTGGTGTGACTAACTCGTTCACCTCACCCTTCCACTCGAGACCTCTGTGACGTAACTGGACAAATCCTGTGCTAAACTGGTCCCACCAGGCAGTGCCCGCCGGACCAGGGTTGGGCTGCACTGGTCTGCCCGCGGCCGGGCCCGTGCCGACAGGAGAGCCCCACTGCCTTACCTCCTTTGACTTTGCCGTTGGTGGCGATGGCCGAGGTGGACAGGCCTGTGATGCCCGTGATGCAGGAGGACAGCAGAATGATGACCCAGGTCAGGCCTGCGGGGGAGGGACAGATACAGGTGGGGTGGGGTGCTCAGTGAGACTAATAACGACACGTCACTCCCTGCACTAGAAGTCTTTCTGATGATCGTTTCGGGTCACATTCATGCATCCGTTCATCACTTCATACAAACGCTGCCTTGTGATGCTAATGCACAGCATCACTGGCAGAAAACAAACAGATCAGAAGACAACAGCTCATTGCAGCAGGCTGATGTTCAGGACGTCCCGTGGTTTTCTGCTGTTGCTCAGTCAGCAATGCAGCACGCCGCCCACCCACGTACCAATCCCTGCCTGGGAGGTGATCCAAGGCAGCCGCAGGTACAGGATGACACCCCAGATGTTGAGCATGCAGCGAATCTGGGGGAGACAAGAGCAGAACTCAGCACCCCACTGACAACTATTCCTCACTTACTGAGCCACAACCGGCGCTTGACCACCAACAACCTTGTGTTTTTCCAGGCCGATTCATGATTAAATCTTGACATGCTGAGAGACCCTGATTTCTCTCAACGCCAAAAAGCACTAAAAACCAAGAATCAGTCTAAATGCTGGAGTCCAGCTGTGCTCAAGCACACTACCAGGTTAAAGTGCAAAAGCTATGTAGATGAGTACAGTGAGCCCACTTAACTCCTTCAATACAAACCAGCCGGAAGAGCTACTGAATAAATTCCTTTCTTTTTTCTTTTTTTTTTAAGTGTATAACGTTAGCATGCCCAAAGGGGTTGGGCAGCCAGTTGACCTTGGACCCCTAGAGGTTTTTTTTCTCCTTACTTAGGAGTTTTTGGTTCCTCTCCTCTGTTGCCTTCTGGTCTTTCTGTTCTGTGTTCACAACATGTATGGTTACTTGCATTGTTAAGCGCCGTGGGACAATCTGGTTGTGAAAAGCGCTCTATAAAAATAAGTTGAATTGAATTGAATAAATAAGGGTCGTGTCACATTGTGTCGCGGTGTTGCCACAGTGACCATCCCGCCCGGGACGGCGCTACACGGCGGGCGGCTGTGTCCTGCCAGGCTGATCC